GAGACCACTTCAGAGCAGCGACCCCACTCCGTCTGAACGGTGCCCAAGAGGCCGGGGGCCCTCCTGCCCATGGGACGCCTGCAGACACAGGCGCGAGTGCTCACCGTGGGCCACGTGAAAGGCTGCTGAGAGTTACTTACCATCATCTGTCCCCTACATGTAAGGTCCCTACATCACACCAATGCCCGAGGCACTGGCTTTCAGTGTACACTCCAGTCTCACCATGTGCAATGAGTCACAACAGCTAACCCTTAGCATGTTCTCATTTTCTGTCTCACTCTATGTCATGCATACTCTTTGAAATGTATTTAGTGTGTTAACTCATTTTATCCCACAAAACTCTAAAAATGAGAAAATTATTACCACTATCCTATAGCAGAGAATCCTGAGGCAGAGCCATAACCGAATGTCGGGCTGGACCCTCCAGAGCTTGCATCCTTCAACCGCTACACACGCTGCCCAGATCCAGCCCATCACAGTGAAGAGCCTTTGGGCCCAGCACGAGATTGTCAATGGCAACAGAAAAAGTGGGTGCAGCAGCCACCCCACACCGAGGGGCCTGAGGCGCCGCAGACTCTGCAACCCACCAGCCACAGAGCCTCAGTCCACGCAGGCTCCACACTTGCACCCAAGATCACGTGGCTGTGTGCTGTTCATTTTATCATCCACAACTCAGTGCTGGTTCTTCAAATACGACAGGGTTCAGTCAGGGACTGGGCCCATAACTGGAGGAATGGCAACCTACCTAATACTTGTCACTCTACAGAAAAGGGAAAGTTGTCTCCAACATAGATACCCAACTTTATTACACGACAGTTTCTTGGAAATGTGTTCTTTCAGCTAAGATGATGTCAAATTTCAGATTGAGGCTAAGAATAAATATTCTAAGAGAGTTAAACAGGTTGAGAGCTGACTGGTTCTAGCAGAGCATAAAGCAAAGTAAAATGGGCAGGGAGGACTCTGGTGAACTTAGGGTGGTAGAATTAGCAGTAACTTTTGACTTGGTCTTTATATACTACAGGGCTTTTCAAATTTTCTGCTTTAAGTATTCTTTAACTTAAGAAAGGGTCCTGGATTATTTGAAATGTTTTAAAATACTTTTAGTTACAAAATCTTCGAAAACAAATTTTAAATGACTATCACGTTAAGGAACAAAATAAAAGTAATCTTGGGTCGGGGATTTAGCTCAGCGGTTCTGGCGCCTGCCTCGCAAGCACAAGGTCCCAAGTTTGATCCCCAGTACCAAAAAGAAAAAAAAAAAAAGTAATGTTGATTTTTTTTTATTGCACTCTGAAAACTGTTTCATGTTATTTAAATATAAGTGCCATATACTGCTCCACATGCGCAAAGGAATTATGAGTATGTTCAAACCTATTTACACATAAGCAGGTGCGCATCCCAATACAGCACACCGCTTCCTGACCAGACTCTGACAGGCAGGCGGTGGCAGTGCTTAGAAAGGTGCCTAGAATACAGCACACACTTCATTATCTGACAGCTAGCACTTTCATTTTACTTCCACTTTTATTAAAATTATGAAACTACCTCAATCTTTACTTCATATTATAATATTTTATATATATTATATACATAAAATGTATATATACACACACACACCTACACATACATATATACAGGCTTGGTCAAGGGCAATACAAAAATATCTTTATCCTATTTTATTTCCTATGTCAGCTGTTTATAGTATGAGAAAAAGGTTAACTATTCATTCACGCACAACCACGCATGAGAATCTGACTCTACTCTCTCAAGAGGGAAAGAAACAATGTGATAGACTTCAGCTTTTAAAAACTAAGGCAGAAAAGAAAACACTATGCCTCTGGGTGGAGGTTAGCGCTAATGCTGTGATATTAGAAAATTTGCACTAAGACTCTGCACTAATCCTCTCACACTGGGATTTCCTCCTGTCACTGCAGCAATACAAAAGCCAACAAAAACATTAAATATCCAATAAGCAAGCTCCTACAGCACTCAACATTCTTGATTATTCTTGGTTTTTTACCCAGGCAACAGAACGCCTTTACTCTGGAAGAGCTGATTCTCCTAGCACTAAGGCTAATAAATGCATACAATTGACAGAATTTTTAAACAGCAGGGAGTACAATACTCTTTGTATATAAGAACAATTTGAACTCTAAAACCTCGCTATTTTGGATTACCAAAAATAACCTTAGCTTAACAAATACAAGCCTTTCAAACTGTAAAGAATGCCACCTGTATTTGAAAGAAAAACGTATTTCCCAAAGAAAAGTAAACCCAAATGACCTAGTCAAAGCTATTCACATATTACGACCAGCAAATTATTTATTTTTTTTCACTTGCTGCTTTATTTTGTTTCTCATTTAAAATGAGAGGCGATTCCCACGTTCTTGATACTCTGAAGCTACTCTGTTTTCTGAGGGAAGAAACCGCATTCTGCACAGTTTTCTGCATGTTTAGCAACTCACTCGTGTTCGCTGATATAAAGTTCTGCAAGCTCATGCCAGGCTTCCTGGTCACCAACAAATCTGGCGGGAGGAAAGGAGAGCAAAGTAAGTGTGTGGGCATTCGCATTCTGTGAGTGAACAGCATGGAGACAAGCAGGAAAGTGAAATGCAAATTCCACTTTAATTAAAAAGACGTCTGAGAATAACAAAACACAATCTCCTTGTAAAACACTCACTGCTCCAGATACTCATTCAGCTCCCGAATGGCCTCCACACTTTTCCCCTGGGCTTTGCGAATGGCAATCTTACGCTTTCTTGCAGCCTATGGGTTGACATTAATAAAGGATTAGCCCACATGATCCCCTGGGTTTTTGTCAGGAAGGTAATCTGACTGTGCAAATTATTATCTCAATGCCAGTGAAATCCCATTGTGGAACGACTGCTCAGTGAGAGTTTAGAAACACACTCCATGACATCCCACTGGGGAATTCAAACACTCCCAACCATCACATATGCTTCACTTTTGATGCATATAATACACGCATTGTTTCAGCCAAACAAGTAAGTACCCAGATTCTGATGATGACAAGCCAGCAGGAAACCCCAATCTTTATCCACCTAAAGTCCTTTCTGCTGTAGATCTGTATCTTGCGAGGCAGAGGGATAGTGAAGCATAGAAAAAATAAAAAAAGAATCTGACCAAGGCCACTTGGATGAAATCATACAAAGGCAGTATCTATAAACTTTTCATGATTTTAAGAGTAAAATCTACCTTTGTCTTTCAAAAGAATAAAATAGGTCTTGAAAGAAATATTTTATAATAAACAAATTCTTAAAGCTTGCATTTTGAAGTCTAAAATATGGTTGACATAAAAATCCATGCCATTCATTTATGTATTCAGACGCATATCGGACATCTATCATTTGTCAGGCACTATGCTAGACAATGAAAATACAAAGATAACAAAGAAGGAGATGACTTCTTGTAGGAGCTCAGTCTCGAAAGAGACAGGTAAGTAAAATACGTGAGGTGATAAAGCTGTCCAGGCTGGAGGACACCAAGGAGGACAGGCTAACGGCTACTGCAGAGCGGGAAGAGGACAGCCAGGGAGCAGAGGGTGCCTGATGCCATGGCCATGCTAAGATGGAGACACTGCAAAGAGCAGGACACAGAGCAGGAGGCCGGGGGGGGGGGTGTCTCGCCCAGAGGCACCACCAGAGCAGGGTCTGGAAGGTGCATGAGAGGCCTGTGCACCCTGGTAAACTCGCACCCTTGACCGCTTGACTCATACAGAAGGACACAGCCCTGTGATCTAGCACTCTGGACGCCCACCGCAGGGGCCGATGTGCAGGACTCAGAGGCTATCGCAAAGGTGACTCAGGCTGACTGCCGTCCTGCTTGTGCTGCTCGTGCTGGCGAATTCGAAGCTGGGATCTCCAAGGACAGGCAGGCTCACCCGCTGCTGTGAAACAACTCCTTGTTGGTGTCAACAAAATGCATTCCACTGAGCCGCCTACAGCCAGAGAGATGTGAGGAAGTCGCTAAGGAAGTCAGCAGCTACACTGCGAGCACTGGCTACAACCCTGAGCAGGTAGCTTCTGGGTGGAATGGTACAGGGCTGCAGCCAAGGGCTCACGTGCCTTGGTTCAAGCGATGGCAGGTCCTTCACAAAGATGGCGACACCAGTGGGCCCACAGCGCAGGCAGCTTAGGCCTCCACCCTGCCACCCACTCGCCCAACTGACAGGCCTCTTCGGCTGCCCCTCCAGACGTCTATAAAGCTTGTGCTATTGGTACGGTCCCTGCAGGCCAAGTGGGGACTGGGGCTCTCAAACCTGCACAGTGGCCACCTCTGCTCCAGCCCATGTCACAGCTGAAGTAAAGTCTGCTGAAACGCACAGTGAAGCTTCGAGCGAAGGTCTTCCTGGGAGCAGTATGGGCTCGTGTCAAGAGTATGTCTCCCAAAGATGTTCTCCGTGGCAACATTGCTGGTGACAGCAAAAATGACCCAGCCATGGAAGCAGCTGGTTTCCCTGCTCAGGAGATTACCCTGAGCCATCCACGCCAGATCGGTGCTGGCTGGGCCCGAGCTGGACTATCTGTCACTCAGTTCACATCGCTTGCAAGTTTGCTGAGCTGAGAGAAAAGATTGATCACTGATCTGGCAAGAAGCTGGAAAAGGACCCCAAAGTCTTGAAATCTGGAGATGCTGCCACTGCGCACATGGTTTCAGGCCGGCCCATGTGTGTCGAGAGCTTCTCTAACCGCGCTGCGTCGTTTCACTGTTCACAATGAGACACAGGTGCTGGTGTCAGCAATGCAGTGGGCGAGGAGTCTGTGGGAGCTGACCCGGTCACCAAGCCTGCCTAGGAAGCTCACGGGGCAGAAGGAGCATCACCCCGACACCTGCCACCCCGGCCTTCCCCACTGGCAGAGGACAGGCCTCAGAACTGTCTCCAATTGGCCGTTTAACTTTAATAGTGAAAGACTGTCACTGTTAATGATAACAACCCTCCCTTTTCGAAAGGAAAGGAGACTGTTTTGTGGACTGTGGGGGGGGGGCAGTTTTAAGTTACTAATTTTTAAGATCAACACTTTAATGGAAAGAACTTGACCAAAAATCTGTCACAGAAATTTGAGACCCATTAAAACAAAGTTTAATGAGAAAAAAAGAAATGGAGTGACAGGGACATGATTCACCCTCCTGCCCGAAACAGCCGAAGAGGACTAAATAAACTACTTAAGGCACAGGGCACCAGGGAGCAAGGCCAGCAGTCGCTGGGCGGTGGAGACAAGCCAGTGAGCCCTACTTTTACCACCCTGGGAGTTTCAGGCTGCAGGACAGAGGGAAGAAAGCCCGATGAGTTTCCAGGTTCAGAGGAAGGAGCTCAGGGTCCGTGAGCTCAACCGTGCGAAGTTCTGAGCACGCAGGCAGCACGGGAGATGGGAGGGCCGAGAGCCCTGCGGAAGGCTGCACGGTCAGCACTGGAAGGCCCAAGACCGAGCTGGGGAGAACAGGAGGACAGCGAGCGTCCCAGGGAGATGGTGGCTAGCACTGAAGGAGACCACGCTAAGTAGTCTGAAATAATTACCGACTTTCATCCTGCATTTCTTTCTTGTAATCTCTAAGGATATTCTAGATTTTTATAAATGTTTTGCTTGGATCAATCTTTCTAAAAGTTAATTTGAATCTTAAAAATGAAAACTGTCCTACATTTTATGAGTGGTTTTAATTTAAGCCGTCTGCAAAACAGAATATTGGTTTAATACATGGATGAAAATTTCCATTATAAAATATGAAACCTCAGAAAGTACTTGATATAAAATTACTATAAAAGAAAAATAATTTAAAATCTTAAAATGTCTAAATTTGAAAAATCAACATAGAATATACAATGTATCATACACGAAATAACAATGCTGCTGGCGGAAATGGCACCACACACCCAGCAGCACACTACCAGCAGAGGCCCAGTCATCAGTCTGTCCTCACCTAATCCATGACCAGGTGGGAGGCTGTGGGAGGCTGCAGGAGGCGGCGGCAACGAAGCCAGCCCTTCACTCTGTAAACAGCCCAGGCCTCAGCTGAAGTAGCAAATCCTGGGCTCCTGGACACGGCACATCTCTTCTGTCAGCTTCTTACTCATGCAATGTCTAACCCACAGCTCAGCTCGGAAGCGTATCTCCAAAAGGCCACACAAAATCCTGAATTCCCAATAATTACCAAGCAACCAGAAAATGGTTCGCAAAGGCTTCTTAGTTTTTGGACCTTACCCAGAACATACAAAAAGGTTTCTCACAAAGACCAATTTCTTTCTACCAAAGCTTCCCTAGCAAAACATTCTATAAAAATGATGCTTAAGAGGTGTAAAAAGATAAAGACAAGGCACTTGTCTTTATACACTGTATAAGGCAGCAGACTAGCATTTGAAAGGTCACACTCAAGAGTGTTCTAGTCAGAAATGGGTATATATTATTGCCAAGCAATCAACAAGGGCCTATATAATTTGTTTCAAGCTTTGAAAGACGTTAACTAATCTTCATCCCGTGGTTCCACATCTTCCACAGTACATAAAACTGGGCTAGTCAGCAATTTTCCCTGAAAGATACTGAGCAGCTCTGAACACACAGGATCTGCAGAGAGATGCTTCCTGGAGAAGGGCTGAAGGACTGAGGTCTCCCTGCAGAACACAACTGGAACCCCAGCTTCGGACCTGAGAACCCAGAAAGGTCAGCCGAGTGACAGCAGGGCTCCAGGCTGTCCTGGCTGAAAAAGGTGACATCTGGAAAGCATTCACTCTTGGCACAGGGCTGATCACACCTGCACAAACCAAGCCATCCAATATTGGATTTACCATAGCAGAAGTTCACAACACGTGGCAAAATCTAATGTTTCTGAGACATGGAATCAACAGAGACAGAAACTACCAACCCTTTCTGAACACACGTGTTCCACAAGCATTCACCCAAGGCCTACAGTAAGCACTGCTCCATGCAACAGGCATGGTTTTCCTTTCCTCAAAGAGCATTCAAAGGATGAAGAGTCCACCTCCATCTCAAAAGCAGGCAAAACACAACAAAGCGACCGGCACTGGGTTATCTAAGGGGTAAAAGTTCACAGGAGCCAGACCAGGACCCATTGACAGTTTAGGGACTGAAATCCTCACACTTGAGAGCCGCTCCTCCCATATCCACAGCTGGGTGCTGCCTGTCTGTGTCTCATTACTACCAACTCTGCTTTCATTCATCCCGTCCCCACAGATGCCGCTCATCCTAGTCTCGGGCTCCCATAACCTTTGGGCTGAAGCAGAAAAGGCTCCAAGTTGTGAACTTCTTCCACCTCCTCAAGTCATCATGTCCTGTATTGCTGACAAGTTACCTCTAAAAATACCTGATGGGATTTCCCTCAGTGAGACTTGGCTTCATTCTCCACCCTGTCTAAGCATAAAGATTCAAATGCAGAAGCCAGGCTCCACAGAGGCAAATCGGGCAAGGGGAACCTTGCTCTCTGTTCCCAACCAGAACAGATACAAACTTTTACTTGAGAAAGATGTCATAGCAAGTGGCTCAAAAAGAAAATGCAAACAGCTTTTGGAGCACACTAGAAAGTGTTCAATAGTCTCGTAATGCACAAGATAACATCTTCAACCAATCAGACTGGCAAGAACCAAAGTTAAAAAGCTCGTACTATGCCCCGGGGGAGGATAAGGGGAAGAAGGGGCACATACATGGCACCGGAGGCACAGACAGGCAGGGGCCTCTCTGGAGGGCAGCCCAGAGAGATTCACCACCATTCAGAATGCCTGGGCCTGCTGCTCAGATGCCCTACCTGGAAGGTGCAGCCCACAGAGGGTACCACCTATGTGCAAACCCCTGGCTCTAGGAGGGGCAGACCAGGCTCAGTGCAAGGGGTCACCAAGGGACTCAGAACTGTGTGCATCAGGGCAAAACTGGTGCGTCGGGGCAACGCCAGGGAAGCCGCAAAGGCTGTGCGACGTGGCACAACCTCTAAGTGGAGTACGCTGCCGAGGGGAGCACGCCGCCAGGGCCGTTCCAACGGCTCTCCCTACCAAGATGGTGACAGAAACACACACGCACAACCATGACAGGACATAAAAACATTCATACTACTTGACTAAGGCAAAGAGGGTCTGAGCTCAGGGCTAAAAAGACCTTTAAAAACTATGAATCACTTCATAAGCTGCAATCTTTAACATGTTTATGCATTAATTTTCAAAATAACCTCTCATGTAACTTTGAAAAAAAAGATGAGGAGTGGGTGTCCCATCTCACGACTTCTGGGAACTCCTCTAACCACCTCACTCTTCCCTCCCTAAGCTAAGACTGTGCGCCTGTGATCCACCTGGAAGCTGCTGCACACCTCCAGCCTACCGTCTGGTTCCTTGAAGCTATGTTCATTCTTCAAGGCCTGCAAGGCTAAACTCTCACGCAGCGATCACCAAAGAATCAGAACTGAATAAACTTTTGCAAAGCCCACAACACGTTTGTGACGTCACGCTGTCTCCCTAAAGACAAAGGCTAGACAGTACACGATCCATCCTCCCACTCCAGCAGCAAGCGGGCTGCAAACGCGACAGGCATCTCAGAGGATGACGATCATGTGTGGGGAGGAAGGAGAGCCCCCGGGGCCTGGACGACAAGTTCATTTCTACCCCAGACACCTGGGAAGACAGGCACAGGGCAAACACAACAGGACAGCCCCACATCACTTCCGGACGACGGAGGACAGCCACAGCGGCGTCTTCAGCAAGGCTTGAGCTGTTCACTATTAACATGACATCTTCCACAGTGCTTTACTGGTTCTAACTCTCATGGGGCTTTGTTGACTTCCTCAATCTAAGCCAAGTGCTCTCTGAGGACCAGGGACAGAACCACGATATTTACTCAGAACACAAACATTTTGGTGGCTCACGAAAGATTCTCAATGCTTAGAAAGAAAGGAGGGACTGAGCAAGGATTAAATAATATCTAATGAAAGAATAATACATTTGGCAAATACAATTATTCACCTTATTCAAAAATATTTACCTACCCACTAAGGGAGTTACATTTAGTCACTACCACCTCATACATATTCCATGAAAGAAACCATTCTGATTTCGCTTTTAGCCAGTCTTAGAAGTCATGAAAATCCATAAACTATGGAAGGTACCACAAAGACAGAACATTCAATTACATATTATCTCATATCCTGAAAAAGTTAAATACTTTAGTAAAAGTATCCCCAACTTGTAGAATATAAGTAAAATGTTTGACTTCCAATTCTAAGAAAATTACTTAAATTACTAGTTAGTGATATCAACTTGGTATGAGAAAAATATATGAAACTCAAAAACTCCTTTCAGAAAGTTTATTTCACTTTTTTCAACACAATATATGGCTAAGTGGAAAATGAAACAGGTGAAATATTCTAAGTGAAATAAGTACATGAGAAATTCTTCAGGAAAAGACAAAAGGTACATTTTATAAGGGTCTTTAACTAAGATGCCAAGCTATCAGGATAGTTAATTTTTTAAATTTTCTAATTTCAACTCTTTTACATTAACTCAAAAAACGAGTAAGCACACAACCTGGACAGCTAGGTGTTTCTCAGCCTTCAGAGTGTTGTGAAAGCGCCAAGCTGTGCCAGGCTTTTATGCAAGCACGCAGTCTATTTTTTTCCAATTCCAACTAATTTCTTTTCCAGTAAGACATCTGAAAGTTAAACTTCACTGGAATGTCTTACATCTATATAAAATAAAATGTGGCCCACTGTAAACGACTCATCTTAAGAGCATGAAGCCTAGCTCCAATGTATCTTTCCATCATTTCCTTGGGGAATTAATTTCACCCCTTAAATTAAACTTAAGATTGTTTTCAGGACAATCTGCAAACTTACAGTGTTTGTTGGATCTTCTTGCAAAATTCGATCGTACAGCTGTATAGCATCATCATACCTATTTAAAAGGAAAAAAAACATCGAGACTCATTACCTTAAAAACATAGTGATAAACAGTAAATACAGAAAAAGATTAAATGGCAGGGCTTTAACCACATTCAAAATTGTTACCCAAGTCTTCCCATCTCCATTTACCAGTAAATGTTTACAATATTCTAATTTTTTAAAGAAAACACACAGTATCAATTACTTACAGAGCTTATCTCAAAAAATACTGATTCAATTGGCCCTAAACAGAAAGGGATAAAGAGCCCAGGTTGATAAGATAGAGCAAGCACCAGAATGACTCACACAGGGCAGGGCAGAAGCTCGGACACTAGAGTCTGGAAGAGTAAGGACCCATGCAGTGAGGGCTCGGCTCGGCTCGAGTGAAGGGTGTGGCAGAGATGGAAATGGAAACAGACAGATGGACACTCACTTCTCCCTGCATTCCTGAGTATGAGCAAAGTCTCAGGTAGCCCAAAATGCCAAACAGTGCGCGTGTGCTCCACACACCTGACGCCCAGATTGAACTGAGGGCGTCCTCTTCACCTAGCATCAGCGGTCCTAACCTACCAACACGCGCAGAAATCCATTCTCTCCTATTGCCCTTCTTTTGTCCTTAGAATATACATTCAACTTCCTCCTTAGGTTCTGCAGCTAGGTATCCATGACAGCACATCAGATGCAGCAGTTTTCACTCAAACCTCCACCTTCCTCATCCTGTTTGTGTTCTACTTGGCTGATGACAGCTAAACATTCAACACAGAAAACCAAAAGTCGTATTTGGTATCTTTCCTTTGCTTCTAAAATGTAACGGTGACCCTTCGTATCTCTCCCCACGCCTCTCATCCACCCTATGTCCCTACACTCCAGTTTACAACACTGCTGCAGCAACCTTGGAGGCTGTTTTCCTTCTGAGGCTGCTGACTACACACCTTCGCCAAATGGACAAATGCAGCTGCTACTTTTCCTCACAATCCTAGAATGGACTCCTTGTGCCTTTAGTCGAAATTCCTCAGCAGGGCATATGAGGTCCTACACAATCTAGTACTCTCTCTATACGCAGCTGCAACCTTAGCCAAAACCCTGTTACACTTTACAGTCCAGCACGGTGAACTCTTATTCTCCCGGCCCTCCACAGAGGTTTCAGACGTTACCCCTGACGAGGGAGGAACAGCCCAAGTGGGGGCCGACGCACGCTCCACAGAGAAGACCTCCTTTTCTCCCTCTTCCAAGTATTTCCTTGGAAATGGGGTTCTGTTTTTGAAGATGAAAATCCCCTGGATTTGAAGATGGCACTTTCTATTTTCTTTGTTTTGAATGTGTTTGTGTATATCTCCCAAAACAATACTAAGAAGTTGGCAAAATTCTTATTTCAAAGGATTGAAGGTGAAAGAGCTTAAAAGAAGTTAAATAATGTGTCTAGCATTTTCAAAAGCTAGAAAATGCTAGAACTAGGATTTGAAGCCAGTTCTTTCTCTAAAACATGATCTAATTTCACTGGGCCAGAGGTGGCAAATGGATCACACCTCCTGTCACATCTTATTTCCTGGGAGCAGCTGACAAGATCTGTGCTGAAAAACCCCTGACAACTATATCAGAGATAAGCCATAAAAGACCATGCACAATTACTGACGTGTCCTGGTGTCAGGAAACCTAAACACAGGCTCTGCATATGCCATTTTTTAAATAAAATCACACTATTCACAAAGATTTGGTTACCGTTCCATGGCTTCAAATCTCATGCCTGTTAATCGCTTGACTCTATGACTGCCAGGGAACTGTCTTCTTAACTCCTGAAGACAAAACTGAAAAAAATAATTGGCAAAAAAGAGTTAAAGTCTAGTCATTAGATTATATGCCCTAAATGGGCCATAAAGAATGGTCTATATGGTTTTTACTGTGCCCTAAGGTTACTAATTAGTCTCACTTACTGTTTTTGATGGTTTTCATGTTTTGTTTTTTGAGGGGTTTTTTGTTTTTGTTTTTCCTGTGGTTGGGACTGCATCAGGGCATTGTGCATGTTAGGAAAGTGTTCTGCCACTGAGCTGTACCCTACCCTTCACTACTGTTAAGAGTGCATTCAAAACTTGTCATGGAAAACATTCGACTCAAGCTATACACTAGCTCTTCACTACTTATATATATTCCACAAAGCAAATGAAATATAAAATGCAATACTCACCAATGCCAAGTCATCCCGACCATAGTCTAGGGCTGCAATCATGACCTGCTCATATATGATCCAAACTAGATATGGAAAGAGGGGAAAGAACTGAATTTAACATAAAAACCAAATCCCCCAAACTGAAATTAATAAATATTGTATTTTCTGATATTTTAAAATGATTTATTATATAACTTCTGGAATTAAAGAAAAAAGCATACTTACAGCTCTCAGCAATATAAAATAATGTCTTACAAGGTAAAAATCTCTAATTAACACCTTTACTATTCTAAATACCTCTTTATAAAATACATTTTGGCCAGATCTGAATGTCTTTCTGAAACACATTTTGGCAAGACATTTGGCAGCCTTGTGAGCTTTAAAACAAAAATGCCTCTTTGACAGCTTCATTACTAGCAATTATAAATTCTCCCTTTTTTTTTTTTGGTACCAGGGATTGAACTCGGGACCTTGCACTTGCAAGGCAGGCAGTGGAACCACTGAGCTAGATCCCCGGCCCTAGCAATTATACATTCTCCTCAAGTTACCATTAAATTCCCGGAGACAAAATCACAGATGATTTGACCAGTAGAATAAACATAAATGAAGACAGGTTTAAAAAACATCAATGAAGAACCCTAAATGAGACATGTATTGAGCCTGAATGTAATAAATTAGCTGAGGAACGTACTATCATCTCCAAGCTTAGAGGCATACTCATTAATTAATTCTTCTCCAACTTCCACAATTTGCTCACTATTTCTTGAGTTTTCTTCCCTCCATTTTCTCATTTTATCTCTCATTTCTGAAAAAAATTAAACAGGCAAATTACTTACATACGTGGACACTTATAAACACATGAATGACAAACATCAAAAAACGACCACACATAAACTTCTGATTAGTGAGTTTATTTAGATAGTCGATTTCATTTTGTAACATGATATTCTGATGAAACTGATAAAGGAGAAAATCTCCTGAACAAGAGCAGCATACCCTTTAGGAGATGGCACCCATCTAGTATCCCAACGGTCCTGAAAAGCAGTGCAGGGCATGGTCTGCACCAGCCTCCATGCCCCTCCAGCAGTAAGAGCTCTTGACTTTTTTTGTTTTGGGGGATATAGGCTATTTTTAAATAGCTAGGGATTGTTTTTCCAGAATAAGCCACAGGATTATATTCAATTACATCAAAGTATTCAAAGTGTTCCTAAAGTTCACTCACTGATCCAAGAACATAAAATTTTTATAATCAGAATATCACATTTAGGCCATCAGCACTAAAGGGATTCATCACCAACTTCCTTCATGATACAGGGCTATGCAAAGAAAGAAAAAGCAAAAGAATTAAACAAAGGAAATCTCTGTTATCGCATTTAAACAAGGAATAAAGTGAGTAATGTAAAATAAGGTCAAGAGCATGGACAACGTAAGTCAATTACAACAGAACAGGGACCTGTGGAAGTCTGAAGTCTGAAGGACAGCACTGCTGTGGACTGAAACCATCTCCCATAGTCCACGTGCCGGAGTCTTAATCCCCAGTGCGACCACACTGAGAGGACAGAGCTTCAAGAGGTATCGGGCTTTGTTCTAATGAATGGATCAACGCCACCATCGCAGGAGGAAGATTTACCACCGGAGGGTCAGTCAGGGCAGGAATGGGTTCCTGGAAACAGAAGGAGCTCAGCCTCCTTCTACCCTGCACCCTACTCTGCCTTCCAGCATGCGATGACACAGCCACAAGGTCTCCACCAGGTGCAGCCCCGACCCTGGGCCTCCAGCCTCCAGAACCATGAACCAAGTAAATGTTCACTAAAGGACACTCAGCTTGAGATATTGTGTTTTAGCAGCAAAAATGGGCTACAGAAAGAACAATAATACAAATTAAATCCTTTAAAAATAGCTAAGCTAGTCTTCTCTTTCATAGGGTTATGGACTGAATGTCTAGGTCCCCTTTCAAACTCCTATGTTGAATTTCCTAGCCTCCAGAAGTGTTGCTGAAGACCACAGTTTACAGTGTATTTGTTATGGTGGCATGAACTGAGACACACAATTAAGGTTGGATTAACTGTCCAACTCCCCAAATGCATGTTGTCGTATTTTTATCCATCTGAAAATCTTGAAATACTACCTTCATTCTTCTAGCTGAATTAAATATTTGTTGAACAGATGAGTCAAATGAACTAGGACCCTAAGAAAACCTGTAAGAGAAGCATGTGAGATTTTCACTATTTCCCTATGTACTGAGTTCCTAGTTTGAAGCCTACAAGAGAAAAACTTATCATAACATGAAAGTAGATCCTGAGTGACAAAAATGACTCTAGAATTTGTAAAAAATCATTACAAATTAACTACTTACCAGTCCAATTATTTAAATACAGCATGACCAAAAAAATGTGTATTTTTTGTTAATTTTTATAAGATAAAATAACAGGAAACATAAAAACAATTTCATCAAATGTATTCAATACAAGAATGGAATTGAAATGACACCTGCCTGAGCAACACTAGGGAGTCAGCAGGTAAATAAACAGGCTGTTTACGGGCAAGTGGTTAACATGCAGTTAGTTTCTTCTTATGAAATCGAGACATCAGCTTGTTTCTCATCTCTGATAAAGTACCCTGAACTAATCAAAGGGTGAAGAGGAGTTCAAAAAGGCAAGTGTCA